GGTCACGCTAAATCTATTCATCACGCTGCACATGAAACCAGCTCGTTTGGTTGTGCTTCAAACCAACACATCAAGGAAAAAAAAAAAGTAGAAACATAAGCAGCGATGAATACCTGGCACAGCACAGCCTCCTGCGGGGCGAGCTGCTGGCAGTGCCAAAGGGAAGCAGGAGTGCTGCCCAAAGGGCTCAGAACCAGAAGCACAGCTCAGGACCTGGCACATCACCTCTGCTGTACCTTGAACAGGCGGGCTGCTCTGAGCGTTCCTGTTGGCTCAGGATAGGCAGCAATGGGGCATGGTGTGAACCAAGCACGGGTCTGGCAAGGCAGCAGCTCTGCACTGAGCCCAGCTTGGGGCTGAGGAGGAGCAAACCAGGATTTTGGGCTGCCCATGAAGGAGCAGAGGGGCACACGGTCACCTCTCCACCTTCACAGGGAGGACCCCAAAAAGCACAGCTCTGCTCACCCATGTGCTGCAGCCTGGCAGGACGCCCCCAGCCAGGAGACAAGACCTGATGACACCAGGTGATGGACTGCTCCAGGCAGGCAGCAGGCACTGGCACTGTGCCGGCCTTATCTCACCACACCGGGCGATGTGGCACAGGGAGGAGCCGTGGGGCAGGAGAGCACAGGGCTGCGTGCCAAAGCCCCAGCACCGCCATGGAAACAGCATTTCCTTGCACGCAATTCAGCGTCGGTACGGGCTGACACCCCCAGCCCAGCCCACTGCCCCCAGCACACCGGGAATGCAGTGCCCTGCGCTGCAGGAGCGGAGATCAGCTGCAGCAGGGCACCCACAGCCCTGCAGAACTGCCACTGGGCACGGCTGCACACCATGCCAGGAGCACGAGCAGGACCTGGTGCTGCAGGAAGGACACGACATCACACCCCATACCCTCCTCTTGGATCCAGCCACACGCAGCTTGCATTTCCCCCCCAAAATACAACAAGCACTTTCCTGAGCAAGGACAGCAGCTCAACCCCTCACATCACCACACCGCTGCATTGCAACACACGAATCCAGGTTCAGAGCTCTACAAGAGCAAAAGCTCTATCAGGGAGCTGCATCCCAGGGCAATTTAAGTAATGAATTCACAAATTCAAACTCTGCTGCCTGTCCAGACCCTAATGCTCAGCAGCCTCTTCCTCTGGTGCAAAGTCCCAGTGCAGCAGCAGCACCTCTGGTACCTACAGCAGGACGGGGCACAGGGAGGACCTGGGGTGCCTACAGGGCAGACCAACGAGCCCTGTGCCAGGAGGGGCCAATGGTGCCCAAGCAGAGGACACTGCCCCTGGACCACAACGTGTGAATGAGTGAATGCAGCACCTGGCAGCAGGAAGGCTGTGTCCAAGCGCTCCTTCTCAGCATCAGTCAGCAGCTGCAGACTTTCTGCTGCCCGAATGCTTTTCAGAAAGAGGCTGTGACACACGGGTTGGTGCCCAGCCCTGCAGAGCTGACAGCAGCTGCACAGCAATTCCTCCAAAACTCACAGCAGAGACCTCAGCAGCAGCAAGCACCTCCAGAGCAGGGCACGTTCCTGCTGCTCACCTCCAGCAGGGAGGCAGAGGAGGAGCCTTCAAGTTGTACTGAAAGTGAAGCAAAGTATTATTAGCTGTCCTACATCTCATTTGAATAAAATTCAAGGCAAGCTGCTAAGTATGTGGCTACACGAGCCACGCAGGTCATGCAAAAGAGGCAAAGGAGCTCCGGCCCCAAACTGCCAACCACAGGCTGCTGCCACACCAAGTGCTCCTCACAGCCCTCAGAGAGGACAGGGAGGTGGAAAATCCACCCTGACATGGCTGAGCCCTGAGGCTGGGGCCAGCTGCAAAGCTGCACCTTTGCTACAGGAATGAAGCAGAAAAATCAGAAGCAATTCATCTGGAAAAAAGAACGAACAAAGTCCCACGTTTCACAGCTCAGATCAGTGCAGGATACCCCCATGGACACAAGCTGGGTGCTCTGACATTGGAATTCCATGCAGTGAGATGGGACAGGGCTCACCACGGGGCTGCTGAAGGTTGGGGAGCTGGAACAGATGCACTCTCAATGTGTGGATGTCTTATTAATACAGAGAACATAACCCTGGGTGCCTGCTAAGGATGCCCTGCTGCTCTGAACAGCATCACTTAGGGCAAACACATGGGACATCACACGGGCTGCAGGCAGCACAAACCCCAGCAGAGCAGGAATCTATGGCACTGCCAGAGAAAGATCCAGAGAAGGCAGTCAGATTTCAGAAGCACGAGATACCACCACCTGCTGCAATTACAGCGCTAAAATAGGAATTGAGTGAATAATGGAGCTGGAGCATCAGACGGGCACGGAGGATAAAAGCAGCCATGCAGCATGAAGCTCTCATGCTAAGCCCCAGTCCCACCTGAACACTGGGCAGGACAGAGCCAGGACCCCCCATCAGGGCACAGCCAGAGCTGACCCAACCCAACCCCAGCACCAAGCCCACAGGGTTCATTTTCAGTATCCAGAAAGCACGGTGCTCCTTTTCCTTCAAAACTGAGTCTGCAAGAGGTGAAGCTGTCTCCTGGTAATGAATGCATCTCCAGTCATTACGGCTTCCACCATGCTGGAAAGGTCAGGGTTGAAGCCCTGCATCTCAGCCTCTCCTCCCTCCAGCCCGTATGCAGGGCTTGGGTTGGTACAGCTTCCTCCACAGAGGAGTAGGGCAAAAGGGATGAAAGCCATCAGAGCAGCGGTTTGGGTTTCTTCCCCCCACGTTCAGCACAAGGCCTTTTGCTCAGGCAACACCCAGGGTGCAAAGTCTTCACCCAGGCGTACACCTCCAGCAGCACGATTTGGAACTGGGCTCACGGAGTCTGACACATTTCCTTATTCCCAGAATAAGCCCTGCTTGTACCAAATGAAATTAATTGTTTGGGTTGAACAATGGCAGAAAGTTTCACTTTTGCTTCCAGGCGGAGCTGCAGCCATAGGCACAACCCTGGGCACAGCACAGCAGCCATGCAGCAGAACACACACTGAGCACCCGATGGAGGCTGCTGAGAGACAAACCACAGCCACACACCTCTGCACACACTGCACACAACAGATGGGCAAAGCTCTCCCATGATGATGAAGATGAGAGGGGAAATCACAACTACCTTGTTTTGTTAAGCTGTGTGGCAGCTGTGGAAAAGTCCCTGTGCACAGCAGGGCCCCTGGTGCACACACTCAGGGAAGAGCACGGGGCGCTTTGCACCAAGCTCCCATTTGCTAAATGCTGCTGAGCAGAAGCAGGGAGCAGCACAAGACAGGGCACCACGGAGCCACACGCAGCCCTGGCTGGAGCCTGGGTGCACAGAGCCCTGCAGCAGCGGCAGCCCTGCTCCCCCTGTCACAGCCATCACTCGGCGAGGACAGAGCTGACACCTCCATCCCACCACCAAGCATCCGGATCTGCAAGGCCACCAGAAATCCCAAGGCTCACAGGGACGTGCAGGCGGCACAGCAGGACCAGTCGGGTGCCTTCAAATCACCGCCTGGGAGAGAGAGGAGCAGACAGAATGAGGCGGCCAGGCACAGGGCTGCCACCCTCACCCACTGCCCCAGAGCACAGGGAGGTGACAGCCCTCGTCACCATGGGACACGGCCCCTGCAGGGGACACTGCAGGGGGCACAAAGTGTCAGCAGCGTGGGCACCGCAGCGCCCGTGATGGAGAACAGCAGAACAAGTTCAGCGCACGATGCTCTGAGTGCATTATTCATGTCCCACTTCAGGTCTCTGCGTTTGCAAAACTTTCTGAATAATTGATGGCTGGTGCACGAGGGAGGACGAGGGACGCGCTGCACTGAAAACCAGGTCACCTCCATGCTGGGGCACACAGAAGGGAGACAATGGGAGCGGGGCAGATCTGCACTGAGAAGAGCGGTATTTATCTGCACTCACAGCCACACACACCCAGAGCTGCTCAGACATCACAGGGCATTTTGAAAGAGCAGTCCTACAAGCCAACCTTATTTCAGCCTTCTGGATTGTCGTTTATTGTAGTGAAGCCACAAAACCTACACATCAGCACCGCCTTTACCCTCACGCAGGGCACACGCACAGCAACCAGAGAGAGCAGCTCCACAAAACCCACAGGAAAGGTCTGATACCAGCACACAGCAGCGGGGCCGATGCTGAACCAACAGCTGGAGCACGGCTGCACCCCGCAGCGCCGCACCCCTCGCACCCAGCACCCATCTCAAAACAAAGAGGATGTGAAATGTTCGGCAGAAAGCGCAAGAGGAAGGAAAACACGAGTGTACGTCGCCAAGACTTCAAGCAATTTCGGTTCCGCGCCGCCGCCCTGAGCTGGGGGCCCCGGGTGCACAGCCTGTAACCCACACACGGCACGGACATGTGGACGGACGCGGTGACGGAGGTGGGAGCAGCACTTGGCAGCCAGGTGGGCAGCGCCGCTGCAGCCGTGTGCCACACAGCCCTACCCAGCACACCCCGTGCACAGTGGGATCCCCTCCCACCTCAGACAACCACGAAACAACACGGCCCACCTGGCCCACCTGTTCCGCACCGCAGCTTGTGGCAGATCCCCAGATCCACACCTGCAGCACATCAGACAGCCTGATTGGGACCCACGCATTTATCCCTTAAACGCGTTTCCAGCCAAGAGTACCCCAATTTGTACAGGAACGACACGAACGCTGCAGGCACGGCCACCACCGCGCCCCAGCCCCGCAGAACAACGCGTGCCCCAGCGGGCGCCTGGTCCCGTCCCACCCGACCCGCTGCCGGGGGACGCCCCGGTCACCCCAGCGACCCTACGCGGGATCCCCCCGGGGCACCCGCAGAGCCCCCTGCATCCTAGCGCGGGCATCGCGGCGTCACTGGGACGCGGCGCGGGAACGCTGCGGGTGCCGGGGCCGCCCCGTGCCGCAGCGGTGAGCGCGGGGCCGGGCCGGGCCAGGTGGGCTGCGGGAACCTGGGCGGCGCGGGGGAGGCGGGAAAGGCCCGGCCCGGCCGCCCCCCGCCCCGCACTTACTCTTGAGGGCGACGATGAGCGACTTCCCGTCCTTGATGAGCTCCTTGATGAACTTGTTGGTCTTCTCCAGCTCGGCCTCGTGCGAGCGGAGCCGCTCCCGGAACTGCGGGCTGTCCAGGCAGCACTCGCTGAATTCCAGCGCCGGCAGCCCCATGCCGCCCGCCGCCGCACCGCGAAGAATTAACAAAAAAATTAAAATATATATTTTTTCCTTTTTTTGGACGAGAAGCGCTCTCCCGCCTCTCAGGGAGCCGCCGCCGCCGCGGGGCGCGCCCCAGAGCGGG